ATAAAGACTGGCCAAAACCCCATGAAGCCTAAAGTTGCTGATGCTGCAAAGGAATACGAGAAGCCAAAGGCCAAACCTAAGTCTGAGGTTAATCGGTCTAATTCTCTTATCCTCTTTAACGTACCTGTGAGCAAGGACAGCTTGCTTGAACAGCGGGCCCTGTTTGATCAGGAACAGTGGTCCAACCTGTGCAATAAATTAGGTCTGAATATTAGTTCAGTGAAATTGTGCAGGCTGTACAGGGGTGTCCACACACCTCAAGGTAAGCCACCCCCATTACGGGTTACACTGAACTCTGCCGAAGAGGCCGAAAGAATACTATTAATGGCTCAGGTACTAGCCATCGACAGAAGCTCGAACATAAGGGTGAGACAAGACAGATCATGGGCTGTCAGACAAATGGCGAGGGAGTCACCGGAACTTTTGCCTTCTACCTCTATGGTGGTACACGGTGTTCCGGAGCTGGAAACGGGCACTGCCTGTGAAAACACATGCATGACGTACAGCAGTGGAGATGGCTGGCATCTCAGACGGCCCTTGGCGCTTCTGGAGCCATCTCCGTTTACCGACTACCTCGCCCCGCTCATCTCACACTGATTAGCTCCCCAAAGTTGCTAAGTGTCACATTCAACTCCCCAGAGCAGTTAGCCATAGCACTTCAACAGTGGTATGAGATCAAGGGGAAAGCGGGAGGACACATCCGATTCTGCGAAAGCAGACCTCGAACCATAAGGAGGCAGCAAACGGAGGCTTTAATACGTCCCCAAGCTTCAGTGACACTCGAGCGGTGCAGTTCTGAGAAAACCACATCGGAATCGGCCAACTAGTCCCAAAATTAATTCCCCTACCAGCAGACAGCTTCACGTCAACTACCCCACAACACACTGAGGTTGTAAGACTCACTGTCAGCTGCCTATATAGCAATGTGAGGGGGCTGAGAGGAAAAATAGGTGAACTCCGAAATCTCCAAGCACACCTACAACTGAAAATGATCATTCTCACCGAAACATGGCTAACCCCCACTATCACCAATAATGAAATCAGTATAGGTGATATGGTTTTGGTCAGGAGAGACAGGGATAATAAGGAAGGAGGGGGAGTTGCCATATACTTTGATAGGCAACTTAAATGTGTGCGCGCAACGGACCCACCACTTATTGAACTCCCAGACTCCATATGGTGTCATTTCACCGTAGGCCACACCAAGCATTTACCTGGTGGCATCTACCGATCTCCCACCTGTGGGGCAGAGCACAATCAGCTACTGCTCAGCACCATCACAGGGATACGAGACTTGGGCTATGACCAAATCACCATTGCTGGAGATTTCAATGCCCCATCACTGAACCTTGGCTCGGGGTATGCTAAGGGAAAATTCGGCCGAAATCTACTGCAAGCTATTCGGAACACGGGACTGACTGAGAACGTTGGAGACGACACTAGGTGGGGCCCTAATGGAAAGTCATCAAAACTAGACTACATTCTAACTAGTGACCAACTTCTTGTCGAAAAGGTCCAGATCATGACTCCTCTAGGAAGTAGTGACCATGCAGTCATAGGTTTCGACCTCGTTCTCCGTGAGCATTTGCAGTGGGACGTTACGCAACCATGTCTGTGTTACAGCAAGGCTGACTATGCTGAAACGCGGAGGCTCTTGTCCGATGCAGACTGGCCCTTAGCATGGGATGAGCTGTCTGTGGATGAACACTGGGAAGCGGTAGAAAAGATTATTCATACAGTAATCTCGGATACCGTCCCTTTAGTCACAACACAGCCCAAAAGAAAGTCATCATGGTTAAAGAGAGGCACGCGGCGTATTCTGCAAGCAAAGCGGAAGGTTTGGTTTACGTGGCGCGTATCTAAAAGCCAGACCGACCATGATGCATACCTCGAGCTCAGGAACCGGTGCAATGCAAGAGTCAGGAGGGACAGAAGGTCATTCCAGGCTAACCTTGCTAAAAAACTCCTGGCAAACCCGAAGAATTTGCACCGATTCATGTCGGAAAGGAAACCAACCAACCAGGGGGCGTGCGCCTTAGTAGGCCAAAACGGTCAATATCTCACTAGTCTGGAGATGGCTGAAACATTTAGTTTAGCCTTCGCCAAACAGCTAAACAGCAATGTGGGTATTACCGTTACGAACCAAAATGGTGGCATCACTATTTCACAGGAGGAAGACCAAATAGCCACCCCCAAAAAAACCCTGCAATAGTACTGAGAAAGCTGCATCGACTCATACCTGGGAAGTCCCCAGGTTGTGATGACATCAGGCCGTCTGTTCTGAAACAGTGCGCCGAAGCTCTCTGTAGGCCTTTATGCGACTTGTTCTAACACTCCATGGAATCGGGGAAACTGCCAAAGGAATGGAAAAGAAGCATCCTTTCTCCGATCTTCAAGGGTGGGGATAGGCAAAATGCCACCAGTTATAGATCAGTAGCTCTACTCCCAGTGGTATCGAAAGTACTGGAAAGTATTATTGATGATCACATCAGGGAATATCTTGATAGGTCTAAAATACTCCATGAAGCCCAACACGGTTTCAGGAAAGGGAGATCCTGCGTCACTAACTTATTATCAGCTTGGGACGACTGGACATCATGCTGGGATATGAATGTTCCAGTCCATGTGATCTTTCTAGACTTTGAGAAGGCATTTGACACTGTTCACCATGACCTTCTCCTACACAAAATAAGCCAGGTAGGTTTAGGTAAACCACTTCTGTCATGGTTGAAGGACTACCTAACTGAAAGGCAATTTTGTACCAAGGTCAATCGAGTCCGATCATCTTGGCACATCTCGTCATCAAGAGTGTCGCAGGGTTCTATTCTGGGACCACTGATGTTCTTGATTTTTATCAATGATTTACCATGCCGTCTAAGCTGCCTGACTCTTCTATACGCTGATGACGTGAAGATATGGAGGGCGATAAAGTGTCCGGAGGACTCAGATAGACTGCAGGCAGATCTAAGGCTTCTGGAAGACTGGGCGGTAGCCAGTGGCATGACTTTCAACCTGAAAAAGTGCAAAGTAGTGAAGTTACGCACCTGTAGACTGCAGAATGCAAGTTACACCCTGTGCAATGAAAGCTTGTCCTGCTCAACGTCGGAACGTGACTTAGGTCTAGTTCTAACGGAGAAAATGGATACAAGCGTAAATTACACGGGGGATGTAGCGAGGGCATATGCGGTCATACACTTTACACATAGACAATTAGGTGCACTCACTCCTGAGCTCTTTCTAAGGTTGTATAAAACATACGTCAGACCGCATCTTGAAGTGCATAATATCATTGCACCCCCACTGCTTAAAAGAGACGCCAACCTCTTGGAAAGAGTCCAACGATGGGCAACAAAAGGAGTGGTTGGTCTCCGAAACAAACCATATGATGAAAGGCTGAAGAAATTAGGCCTATTCACACTCAGTTACCGTCGCTTTAGGGGGGATTTAATTACTGTCTACAAAATAACAAATGATCAGAATCACCCAAACAAAGGTGTTATGCCAGTGAGTAGGTATAGGCTCCCTCGTGGAAATCCTAGAAGGATAGCTCATCAGAGGGCAAGGACCCGGGTGCGTTCCCACTTCTTTTCCCTGCATGTTTGCCGTCCCTGGAATTCCTTACCGGCAGATGTAGCTATGGCGCCATCTGTGGACGCCTTTAAGCAAAGGCTGGACAACCATGCAGCGACACAAGGACTTCATCCAAATGGCCTATCCCCTTAAAATCGCATACACCATTCAAAGGTAGACAATTAAACTGGTCGTTTTACTTCTTTACATTCTCTTCAGTCTTACTCTCCTGACAGCTTTAACTACACCTATTATTATTATTATCAATATTACTGGTATATATATATACCGGTTGACTGACTTTTGTTACGTTTTCTTATTCTTTTTCTGTCTGTTAATAATAATAATAATTTTTGCTTTATTCCAAAAACAGTATTAATGATACAGCAAGGAATTTCCAGCATTCAGTACAATATTGCATCTAATTTACTCAAAAACGACAACAACAAAAAATAAATAAACTAAATAATCAATACATAATAATGATAACAAAACGTTTTTATAGCAGCTATGTAGCAATTACAGTATACGATAAGGAGAAAAATACGCATAAAGTATAAAATTATAGTAATAATAGTAATAACAACTAAATAAAAATAGCAAAGTTATAATTAAACGATAGAAAGGGTGACACCATAGAATTACAGAAAGATGAACAATGAAAGGGTCGATTCACTATGCTAATTACATAGTAACTTATATGTTTCACGTCTAACAGAGTCTTCATCACATAAAATACGGGCTAAGTACGGTATTGTAGAATTTTTGTACTTAGTGGTACGAGCATATAATTTCTTATATTGACTTCTCGTTCTACCTGATGAGATACAAGGGGATAGTTGTGAATAAAGAGGGTGCAAAGGGTCTGACAGTACGGCCTTTGCCCAATTTGTACAGGAATTTACGTGTCTCTCGACTATAGTATTGACGAGCTCACGCAGTGGCAAACCACAAGCCCTACTTACAGCATTTAATACCCTTCGTAATATGACATAGTCTTTTTTAAGAAGCCCAGGAAAGATTAATGAAGAACAATAAAGTACAATAGGTAAAATACAGGAGTTTAAAAATTGCAGAACTAAAGGTTGGTTGATACCTTGTTGTCTTAACTTTTTAATGTAGAAGGTAAGACGAAACATTTTCTTAGAGATCAATAAAATGTGGGATGACCATGAAAGGTCAGAGGAAAGAACTAATCCAAGGTATTTAATGCTTGACTTGGTTTCAATTTCTGTGCCATCTATGCTACAGGCATCATGGGAACTAACTAGTTCATGTATGTCACGTCGATGCTTGAAGGTAAAGTTAACTGCCTGTTAGTCTGAATACCTTCACTAATTATGTCTATTATTATTATTATCTCTTTTCTATTGACGACGATACCGAAGGACCAATTGGTGAAAGGATCAACTCCATTCACATTAATAACAGTCTTAACACACCTCATACTACAAACCACATATAATTAATCCCTGCACTACTCCTTCTGGAGTCAACCAAAGCTACGGCGGTCGAGTGACGGGACGAGCTACGCAGACGTTTACCGAAGATCAGGAACCTCTACCTCACAATCAAGAGGCGAGCACAAAGAAATCAAATTGGTTTATACTAGCTCGTAAAAACAAATATTGGATATTGGAATCTGGATCTGTGATTCCCCGCGTATTATGCTGTATGCGCTACAACTGGTGGATTGATGCTTACCAGAGAACTGGGCACTTTTGTGTAATTAGGATTTTCAAATTTATATTGTAAACTGTCTGATGGTTCTTTCTGGATCAAAAGAGTTTGTTGATATGCTTTTGGCCCGTGAATTTCCCAGGTAATCGGCTGTCTATTCATGTTGTCGATGTTACAGTGCTGAAGATTATGTAATGGTAATGAACGGTTGTGATGTGTGTGGCCACAGTTTTATGGCAAACGGCTTTCGGAAACCTGTGTTGGTGCGATCAAAGGATGGTCTCAGAATCAAAGTTCCAGTGGAATCATTCACACCTAGGGATCTAACTAAATTTATCGGTAATCATTGCAGTCAGAAGTTACATTGTTCAGATCCTGTCACCGTTGTCGATGTTATTGATGTCCGGCAACAGACAGAAATACAGATGCCGCTCCGGGACTTGGTTGATCAGTTCTGTTCTGATACTCGACCGATGTTGTTAAATATGCTAAGTTTGGAGTTTTCGAGAACTAGGTAACATACATTGTTTCCACATTTAAGCAGCTTAGCCAAGTTTGTTCGTCCACCACATGTCGTCTCCGAACTCAGTCTTGTTACGACCTGTTGGCCAGATGATGATGTGGATGAATCTGAATTATCTGACGAAGTGGCACCGACTGTTCAAAAATACTGTCTTTTGAGCATGGAGGGTAGTTACACTGACTTTCATATAGATTTTGGTGGCTCATCTGTTTGGTATCATGTAATGTGGGTACGTCCTCCAATTACGCTTTCTATTTCTGCATACAGGGCGAAAAAGTATTTTATCTAATGCCACCTACTCCTGAATACTTGTCGGCTTACTGGCAATGGTGCATGAGTGACAACCACAGAACAATATTTTTTCCCGATTTCGTGGCAGACCTACTTAAAAAAGGTATGCGTTTAAACATGTACAAAAGAGATATTTTTCTTTTGGCGACAAACTGATGAGCTCATAACTTTTTAGGTTCATGTGACACAGGTGAACCTACAGTTTATTGCCTGCATGTTTCACCTGGCCAAACAATCTTCCTTCCAGCTGGCTGGATTCACGCTGTTTATACACCTTCTGATTGTCTTGTCTTTGGAGGAAACTTTCTCAACGGATTGCATGTTCCTACACAACTTCGGTATGTTCTGTAATTTTGTTCCCTAACCGAAATTGCTATCAGTAGTATTGCTTTCTAAATGATGTTCCCTCTCTTATACATGAAGTGTTTGTAAACTAGATGTTATTTTTATTCCCAAAGGAAATAGCAAGGATTAAAATATCAAGTGTTGCATTTTTGGGTTTATATGTGTAATGTTACTCAAATTTGTTATAGTCAGCATTATTATAACAGCCTGATCAAAATGGTTAGGTTCAGTATCTTCACTTTCTGCACACAATTCCTTAGTCAGATACAGAGTGGAATACGTTAAATTAGATTTCCACACGACTGGATGGCAACGCAACCTCAGTCAATATATTTAGTGGCTTTTGGACTGAATCCTGTGTGGGATATTTGTAATGTGGTTTTCGAACAGCATTTAAAACTTCGAAGTGATGGAAATCAAAGCGCCTACGGTCGCACAACCACTTATTATTTCATGGTTTTTATATTTGTGGCTAGCTGGGTCATCACTTTCGGTCACTAAATCCGTAGTTAATATTATGCTACGCACATTGTTTGTGAACGAGCAACATGACGTAGCCTGCTAGGTTAGTATCGTTAAGTCACCCATAGTGTCACCAACGCTCAATCATGAAGTGTATCTTATGTTGTGGACTGAACGGCTAAGCTCATTTATACGCGAAAAAGAACAAAACAAATACAAAATTGTGATAAGGTTTATCTGTATATATGTAAATAAACACATATTTCTGTAGAGAGGAATTAAGCTCACACAAATTTATATATATATATATATATATATATATAATGCAGTTACTTGGTGAGTTGTGACTGTCCCAAAATACACAAGTAAAGACGTACAAAATTGTAGTAATGAAATCGTCCTTTTTGATCTGCAGCTGCTCACTTTATTTAAGAGTATGCTTACAACTCGAGGGTACTTGCAGAGAAGAAAGGAGATCGAAACAAAGGATCCGAAAGTGGATATATGGATCAGGTACGGGCCAGAGATGATTGGCAATAGTGAAAAGCAAGAAGCTGGAGAAGTGAATTGTGTCGCCCGTAATGCGTAGTGAACCGGCTGGTGTCCTTATTCAATGTTAATTAATAACCATGATGTGGACTGAATTCACTATTTTACAATGAACGTATAATTTGATAGTTTTCGGCCTCCGCACTTACAACCCGGTACATAAGAATCCTGTTGTATGAGTTACATCATTTCTTACACACATCACAGTTTATATTTTAGTATATAACGATACTTTGCTACTCACGATGAAATAGATGGGGCTGGTTTTGAGTATGGAGTATGTCACCCGAATATTAAGTTTCTCAGAAGGTACGGTGGATCTCCGATTCCAAAGTTATTGTTAATTACGTTTGGTGCCCTCACTTTAAGATGTAATCTATATTATTTGGTTACCTCTAACTAGTAGTGAAATAATGAAGTAATTTTTTTTAGGTCATTCGCATGGAAATTTGCATATTTCATGCATTTATTTCCCCTTGTAAATCCGCATAAGCCAAGAATAATGAAGATTGTGGAATGAATTGAATTCAGTTTCACTTTTTGTAACTTGAATCTTCTACAAACTCAACTGGAATTTATTGTACAATTTAACAACTTAAGATGGCCTTCTTAAAATAAATATGGTTCAGTGGTTCAGTTAATATACATATTGTTTCCTTTAAATTCCTAAATGAACACAGGGCTTCAGCAGCACGACTCCATTGCGTTCAGTTCTCTGCCAACGTTTTCACCTGGCTCCACGTCTGTCCACATACTTTCATTTCCTCTTCACACAACCTCCTCCATGTCACCCTCGCACTGACGACCGATTAACTCGCCGCTTCCCATTCGGGTTCTATTCGAGAGACAGAGCCTGTCGTGGGATGTCACTCACTTGATGCTTTGTTTTCTTAGTATGGCCAATTCACCTCCATTTCTTCCTGCATATTTGTCACACAATCGGTTCCTGCTGGGTTGGTTCGCTCCCAGACATCCCTGTTGCTGATCTTTTCTGGTCATCTGATCTTGAGTATTGAGCGAAGACAACTGTTGATGAGGTCTGTAGTTGGTTCAAAGTGCCCTTCATGACGCGGCGCCAAGTCTCTGATCCGTATAGTAGCACTGACTTCACATTGGAGTTGAAAATCCGGATCTTATTTTTGATGCTGAGTGCTGTTGATCTATCTCTACACAGACTTGGAAGTAATGAGAGCTTACCTTGCTTTCCCGATCCTCGCTTTGGTATCCTCGTCAGTTCCGTTCTCCTGTAGTTGAAACGATGCTTCCCAGGTAGGTAAGTAAATGAAGTTGCTTCTTTGATATTTCTCCATTATGCTGATTGTCGTCTGTTGTTGCTGCTGTTGCTGTTGGCCAGGAATCTTCTCCACCTCTGTCTTCTCTGTGTTCACCTGAAGTCCTATCTTTGATGCTTCTTCTGCCAACTTGTTGCTTTTCACTTGCATATTTTCCAGTTTGTGGGAAATCAAACATATATTATCGGCGAAGTCCAGATCCTCTAAGTTTTTGTTAGGGTTCATTTTATGCCTGTCTCCTCGCTGTCCGCCTCACTATCCAGTCTACTGCAATCAGGAAAATCACTGGAGATAGTAGGCGGCCAGCCAGCTTGTCCTACTCCCGCCTTCACTTCGAAGGATTCTGTGAGTTTCCCGTTGTGGGTTACTTGGCATGCAGCATTGTCGTACAGCTGTTGGATGAGATGTATAATTGTCGATGGCACCCCGTAGTAGCGAAGTAGTTGCCAAATCACCTCTCGATCGACGCTGTCGAAGACATTTTCAAAGTCGATGAAGTTGAGATAGAGAGGTGACTGCCATTCCAAGCTTTGTTCAATGATGATCCGTAATGTGGCGATCTGATCAATGCATGACTTGTTTCTCCTGAATCCAGCCTGTTCCGGTCGAAGATTTTCATCCAGGTTGTCGTGTTTGATTCTCTCCAGGATGATGTGGCTTAGTATTTTGCTTGGGATGGACAGGAGCATAATTCCGCGCCAGTTCTTGCATTGACTTAAGTCTCCTTTCTTTGGCAGTTTGAATAAGTAACCTTTCTTCCAATCCGCAGGTACCTTGCCTTCTTTCCACACCTTCTCCAGTAGTGGTGTCATCAAGTCTGCTGTTGTCTCTGGGTCCATTTTCAATGCTTCTGCTGGGATTCCATCTGGTCCTGCTGCTTTTCCAGCTTTTAGCATCTTGATTGCCTTCAGGACTTCTGATTTCGTCGGGGGGTTGGTGTTCACTGGTAGCTCTGTCTCCGTTGTTGGTATTGTTGGGCGCGTTGTAGGTGGTGGTCGATTTAGAAATCTTTTGAAGTGTTCAGTCCAGTGTTTCCTTTGCTCCACCTCTTTCGTGATTGGCTTTCCACTGTCATCCTTCACTGGCTTTATTTGTGTTGATCTTTTTCCTGATAGGAACCTAGTTGTTTGGTAGAGTGCTGCAAGGTCTCCTTTGCCTGCACCTTGTTCTGCTTCTTTTGCCATAGCTTCATAATATTTCCTTTTGTCTTCCCTGGCACTTTTCTTTACTCTTTGTCCAGTGTATTGTAGCTTGCATTCAACCCCTATTTTTGTTGCTCGTCAATGCATTGGATAGTTTTTTTTTCACCATCCTTCTCTCTTCTATTAGTCTCCATGTGCCCGTAGTGAGTCACTGTTTGTCCTGTCTCTTCTTTCTGCCTAGAAATTCCACGCAGGGTTAACTTCCCATCGCTTTCAGGCTGTTCCAGTACTTTTCAACGCTGGTGTCTTCGCTAGTGTTGATTTGTGTCTCCGCCTTTTCCCTATGATTGCTGTGAAAATGTTCTTTGTGTCCTGATCCTTCAGTTTTTGAGTATTGAACTTGGTTTTTGGTCTATCTGCCGCTCATGTTTCTTTGAAAGTTTTTAATTTGCTTTAGAGTGCTTCTTGTACGAGATAGTGGTCTGAACCGAAGTCTGCTCCTCTTCTTACTTTTGTGTCTAATGAGCTGCGTGTCCACTTCCTTGAGATGAAGTCAATTTGATTTTTGGTTCGCCCGTCTGGCAGCACCCATGTAGCCTTGTGGATATCCTTGTGTTTGTATACTCTGCCACCAATCACTAGTTCATTGAAGGCGCAGAAGTCAGCGAAGATTCTCCGTTTTCATTCATCTCTGCAAGTGCCTCTCTATGCATAATGAGTTCTCTCCCTGTGTTGTCTGGTCCCAGTTCGGCGTTCATGTCTCCCATTAGTATTTTAATGTCACCGACTGGATTATTGTCCATTGTTGCCTGTAGTTGTCTGTAGGACTCTTCTTTCTTTTCGCGATCTGCGTTGTTTGTGGGTGCATAACATTGTATAACTGTCACTTTCCTTCCTTTTGAGTTGAACCTCGCGGTCATTATCCTGGGCGAGATGGCCTCCCATTGCATCAGGACCTTCGTTGCCGTTGGTGAAATCATGATAGCCGCGCCCTTGGTGTGAGTGTGGTTGTCTTCTGGGTGACCAGAGTAGATCACTGACTCACCCGTTGACAATTTTGTGAGTCCACTCCCATTCCATCTGCTTTCGCATATTCCCAGTACTTGAATACCATATTTTTCATCTCATTTGCAATCTGGGTAGCTTCGCCAGTCTCATACATAGTGTAGACGTTCCATGTCCCCACACAAACGTTTTCTTTTATCGCAAGGAGACTCATCATAGTGAAGTTTCTGTAGCAGCTTTGTTTACAGGATGGGGTTGCTAGCCTCATGCCTGAGAAGGGGGTTGTTACATACAGCGGATCAACTTTTTGGGTTGCTCCCCTTAGAATCAGGAAAACAAAGAATAAAGCAATCAGAACAACAACAGCAAAAGGAAAAAGGAATTCACAACAGGAAAGGCAGCGACAACAACCACAACAAAGAAAACCATAACCGTAGTATCACTGTCAAATACAGTTAACAAAGATGATATCAAAAGCATAGGCTCACTGACTTGGGTTCAATCAATACAAAATAAGTGTTTTCGTATCTGCACACCAATATATATATATATATATATATATATATAGGAACTGAGGCGATATAGTTCATGACTTGATTACTCATCACAAAGGTAAAAATCAGTATCAAAATGAAAAATAGTACTGTAAATTCGATTCAGATTTAAGATGGCAGAGAAAGCAGTTAAGATGTGACAGGTGTTGCATAGTAAGGGATGAAATACTGGTAAAATAGTGAAGGATAAAGCAAGAAATAACACTGCTACATAATAGATATAATGGATAATGAGTGTCTAAGGGCAGTAAAAGGGTGGAACAAATAACAAAATGGTAAGTAAAGAAATACAAAGGACCACAATCGTCGGATTTCTGTTGCTTCTGCATATCGTGGTAATCTACTATTACTATAGCTACCTGGAAATCTGTGTTGAAACTGATGGTGTGATCTGTATCAAACATATGCCTGCCAATAGCATTGCTAGGTGGTCTTGCGCTTTGTGGCAATTCTTTTGACACACTTTCAGGAATTTATTTTACATTCCATGGTGACATCTCAAATTGTTAAATTGTATACAAATTTTCAACTGAGTAAGTTTGTGGAAGATTTAGAGCAGACGAAATGAAACTTGAAAATGTTGATTCTAAGCATCATGTTTCAGTTAACGAAACCGGTTGTTGAATTTTATGTTAAATTGTTCGTCTATTGGCTATATACATAAAAACGTCATGGCAATATTGATCAAAGCTAATTTTCTTCGTGTTGTCGCCCTATTCATTTCCCATCACATTCACTGGTGTTATGTAGGCCCTAAAATTTATTATTTCGTATATGGTATCGACTTCGACTCTGTCAAATTCTACACTTTTTTTATTACCTTCAGCACCTGCTGAGTGATTGTGTAGTTGTTTTCCGTTCTGATTGAACCTCTTCGTCATATTTTTGAACACTTACTTAACACTTGATGGCTATACTGTTATATATAATTATATATATTATAATTTATTAAAACACAAACTTACTACATTGCGGGCAACAAGAGATGTTTCACACAAAAGTTCATACTTTGTGCAAGGGCTGAGATACTGCCTGGACGCCTAGACCAGAGCGAGTGGTTGTCTTTAAAAGCCATTCTCGAGTCTTTGTGACTTAAAGTCTGATCCACAAGACAGTGAAGCTGCGTTCATATGGTTTCCAGTGACCGAAATCGGTTCATACACTATTCTATCGGTTTGGATTCTGTAGCCCATATACACCATCGGTTGGGAATCAGTTTTCCCAGCTCCCTTAGGTAGGCTTACATGTGTCACCGGTCCGGTTGTAAGCGTTCTCCGGACGTTCGCATTCACCCTTCACTTTTGTTAGGAACACCCTGCCATGCAAAGACAGTGGATGGGACTTAGCCGACAGAGGCTATAAACGTGTAGCGACATGAGAGCATTTTACCAGGAAGACCGAAGTCTACACAGTCTCAACCGTACCAGATGGTTAACTGTGGCAAACATTATATTCATATATATCGTTTATTTCATTGTCTCTCTACTGTCCCAATTTATAGGTCTTAATTTCTTTTTTGATTTCCATTTTGTAGGGTTTATCGCATGGAACAAAAGTGTGAAACACCGATGAAGTTTTTATTTCCTAATTTTGAAAAAGTTCACTGGTTTTATAGTCAACGTTTACTAGACAAGTTAACTAGTAAGTCTATATCAGCATAAATCAAAATTAACCAAAAAGTCATTGTGTTGAAGTTGCTAATCTTTCTTCTGTTATCGTCATTACAGATAGCTTAACGAATGGCGAAAATCCAGTTACACATGACTTAGATGCAGCGGAAAGTCTAGTTAAAGTTCTGCCAGTATGGTATGCTAAAAGACGTTCGGTAAGTCAGTCAGTGGTTTTGGCCAATCGGATTATTAACTCTAAACTGTGTTTTCAGTACTGTGTAAATACTTTGCCTTGAAATATGGTTATCACTGACCCTGCATCAACTTTTGTAACGGCCAGTAAACCTCATTATTTTAATTTGAGGTTACATGATTTTCTCGGTGGCACAGTGGTTAGGACTCTCGCCGACCATGCACATGGTCCGGGGTTCGATCCCCTGCCGGCGCACACCCGATATCTATGGTCGGCCTGCAAAATTTGGGCTACCGATATCCATGCTGAAAATTCCACACTTGTACTGAAAATACTGTGTGGAATCAAGCTGTAAATAAAAAAAAAATAGTAACTTCACTTATTTATGTGACAAACTTTTTGTAAGCCATGTTATGCTGTCTCGTTTATTCTTCACTACGACTTTCCATGTCACAAAATGCATAAATCAGTAGACAAACAAAACAGTTCCAACTCTTTCATAGGCTTTCATTAAACTTTACAATTAATGCATATGCATATAGATGGGTAATTGGTTCACAATGCAGGCTGCAGATATTTTTTATAAAGTCATTTAGGATAGAAATAAATAACTCTTTGCAGTTAAGTGTTCCTGGTTTCTATACGATAACATACAGATTACTAAGACACAGAGATAGGACTTATAAAAACAGCAGCAAACAGTCTCCATAAAACCAGTGTTTCTATAATCCCTGTCAAATATATATGAAATAATTCGTTGAGGTGAGTTGTCTGAGCTAACTTTTCCCTTCAGCGTCTCTCCGTGAAAAATTTCATGTTCAGGGAAATAAACAGTGTGAAATTAGTTTTGGTATGGTTATCACCTGAACTGCACTCATTATTCATTGGTTGTTATTTATTTTTGAAAACTTTTACCGTAATATAGTTTTGTAGAGTAGTAGTAGTAGCTTGATTTTGATGTTAAACGGACACTTGGATATATACAGATGTGTGTCATCTGCTTGGACGTATACTGTAATACAACATTTAAAGGAATAAGTACTCAACACCAGGCGAACGGATGAAGATATCAAAACCAGAATCGGAAGGGCAAAACAGACCTTCATCAAATTATTACTCAGCTAGAGCAAGATTGATTCACATAATGTCAAGTTAGTCTCTTAGTAGAGGCGCGTGATGAAAGTTATTCCCCACAGGCTGCAGGCGTTTATCAACAACTGCCTTCTCTGGCTCCATACTGAAGGTCAGATGAAAGAATTAGCAACAAAGAACTCTAGGAATGACTTATTGCTCAATAAATGTGCCAAAGGAAATGGAGATAGATAAGACACACGCTGAGGAGACCGTCGAGTAACATCACTCGTCAGGCTATCGCTCAAGTGGAACCTGAATGGGAAACAAACTACAAATTGGGCGTCTGAGAGTGAAATGGTGGACATCGTACGAAGAGATAAGAGCTTATGGACAATCGTGGGACCAGATGAAGCTGGCTGGCTGGCTGGATTCAACATAGAACTTGGCACCGAAGTGCAGCAGTTCGAGTTGCCACGTTCCAGAGAGCACACAAACGTAGACAAGAAGATTAGTGAAGAGAATCAATAGAGTTTTGACAAGTATAAGAGTGAAACAGAATGAGTAATGGTAGAAAGGAATATGGAAGATTACAGAGACTGAATACATTTGCGCCACTGACAACGATTTTGAGCCATGTCACCTATTGTCTCCAGCCATTGATTCTTAGAGTCCCGAGGGCGGGCCCCGACCCGGAAGTCTGCATCTCTCTCCCTACCTGACTCAGTTTAACTGTCAAGGATTTCATGGATTGATGAGGCCATGTTTTTGTTTGGCCACCACTTACTCTTTTCCAACCTGCACCTATATCAGCTAGTAATGCCCGTCCGTCGGGGGAGGCACGTGACCTAGCCATCTCAATCTATGTAACTTTATGGCCTCTTCGATTGATTTTCCCTCTTTGCCCAACACTCTACGCCTGACGTCAACATTACTTACTTTATTACACCACCTAACGCGAGAAAGAGATCGTAAACATCTGTGGTCAAAAACAGACAACCTTTTCATGTCTTCCGCTCTCAATGGCCACGTCTCACCACCATAGAGAAGGACTGAGCGAACTGCTGAGCAGTACACACGTCCCTTGGTTGATAGCCGGATGTCACGCCTACGCCAGAGACGGTGTAAGTTAGCGAAAGCAGCCCGAGCTTTCTGGATCCGTGCTGAGATTTCGTCACCAATCACTCCGTTGGTGCTGATACAACTTCCCAAATAGGTGAAGTGGTCAACATGTTCTATCACCAAGTGAAGAGTACTGCAGAAAACAGGACAAAATGGAGATGTGCTGTTAAAAGCCCTATTTTCCATGATTTAAGTTTGTATTGAGAGTTGAGTTGAGCTGATTGATTCATTGTTTGTTCCTGAGGAGAAATATATCTCTTACATAGTTGTTTGCTTTGTATGTAATGTAGTCTTTTTCTATGAGAAATAACTCACAGTATAAATACATGTAACATTTTTACGGGTAATAACTGTAGTTTGTTAGTATATGAATGAACTGAAAAAATTCTTTCTATTTTACTCAAAAATAACTTCAAATCTTATCTCGACGTAGGTGTATGCCTTGGATCCGTCACATCTGTTGCTCTTGATTGTTATGCCTTATGGTCACCGATTATTGACTGGATTTAGGATATTTTGAGCAATACGACAAATGATATGTACTAGTGACTGCTTAGTAATTGACCAATTCGAATTTCGAATCAGCGTACTAAGGCGAATGTATTATTTCTACCGACCCTCTCTATCAATGGCTTATCATTATGTGGTCAATTTGAGTCCATCGTTGATTTGGTGATAGATGTTGCCAGGTTAGGCAATGTTCCCCTTCATTTTTGAAGTTAGTGCTCACCAGGCACAGATGATTATCCGAGCAGAACTGTAAGAAATGATCACCCTTATCAGTTCGTTGACATGGGACTGCACAGGTGTCACTAGTATGCTTTTCTAACTGGCACAGCTTCTTTACTCGAACACTGAAATTCACTGAAGTAACCTATGTCTGAGCATTTCGCTTTCATTAGAAAACTGGACAGCTTTTGTTATAAGTCAATCCCTTAACCTCGAACTGCAGTCGGTTGGGGAGCGGGGTCGTAGATATAAATTATGTGGAGATATCGAGGAGTATGTGAAAATCTTTTTTTTTTCCTCACAGATCCGCTCAACCAATCTGCACAGTTCTTCTTTTGACATATTCTTCTATGATTATTTAGATGGATAAAATTTAAAACTATTTAAAGTGAAATTTTTACATTTAATTCATACTTTTTGTCTAAATCTTATCACATTTCATTTTAAGCTTCCACCAGAGGAAAGACGATACTTTCTTCCTAGTCAAAATCAATTAGATATACCATGCGCAAAATTAATTGAAAGGTTAAATGAAGTTTTAAGCTCAATTTCACCGCGTTCTGTGAAACACTCAGGTTTTTCAGCGCATTCTTTTCAATCAGGGATATACTCTAAACATTCCAAGTGAGTTGTTATTACCTTGTTTGTATACAATGACTAACTGACTTGCAGTTTCACTTCTGGACTTTTATTTCATATTATTTGTTTGTAAAACTTTGTTGCTTTTATTGACTTTATTACTATTGTTATTATTATTATCATCATATTATTGAAACACAAACGTGGTACATTGTAGGCATCAAGAAATGCACCACACAAAACCTCATAGTTTGTGCAAAGTTTAGGATACTGTGTAGACGCCCAGACTGAAGTAGGTGGTTGTCTTAAGGGGTCCCCCTGCCTTCCGAACCGTTGACTTTAAGTCTGATCTATAAGGCAGTGGAGTAGCGTCAGGATCTGCGTTCCCATGGTTTCTGGTTCATACGCCACTCGATCGGTTTGGATTCTAGAGTAAAGCATAGTTTGGAAATCAGGGTTTTCCAGCTCCCTTAGGTAGACTCACATGTCCACCAGTTCGGTTGTAAGTGGTATCCAGACGTTCGTATTCGCCTCTTCGCTTTTGTGAGGAACACCCCCACCATGTGGTGGAGGCTGTAAATGACAAATATTTAAATGAATAACGAATTGATAGCGAAACATGGCCACTATGCATCGGTTATGTGTAACTGTAGTAGTGCTATAATCTTATACTAAATCGAATTGTCGGTGGGTTTGAATAATTCTAATCTGATTACTAGATGGAACCTTTTGCTTATAATCATAGGCCTATTTAATTAACATTTAGTATCGAATATCGATAAGGCCATTCGTATTCCTTGTTAGTGTTTTCTTCTAATGTTTTTCAGGGTGCTAAAATTATTAAAACTTGTGATGTTAGAATGACTACTTGGCTACATGAACAAACAAAATGACAATAATACATTATTCCTTGGTTAATACTTGAAGTCTCACTTCTATTGTTGTTACATGAATAGATCTTGGTGTTACTTAATTTGAACTGGCGATCATTCACAACTCTAATAAATAGTTCATTAGTAATACTCTTGGCTGCAGGAATGAAAGTTGTCGATCTATGTCTCAGAAACGTCTAAATTAGAGAGAGAGACCTCGATAAATAAATCCCAAATAACACAAAACGTTGACATTAGACTTGGGAGTAATTCCTTGAAAATTTTAAGGTGATTATTATTTCAAGTTTAACTACCCTTTTTAGATGTGGTTCATTGTCTTTAGCTTTTGACTTCTAACTAATGGGCTCCGGGTTCAAATCTCGATACACCTTCAGTCCGGGCTACCATAACAGTACTGATAGGCATACTTGTGCGTCGGTGGCACAGTGGTTAGGACTCTCACCGACCATGCACATGGTCCGGGGTTCGATCCCCTGCCGGCGTACACCCGATATCTATGGTCGGCCTGAATTTGGGCTACCGATATCCATGCTGAAAGTTCCATACTTGTACTGAAAATACGGTGTGGAATCAAGCTGTAAATAAAAATAAAATAAAAAATAAAGAATGCAATGAAACTACAGTAGATGAAACTGGATGATCAATCAAAAGACGTGAATAATTTTGCATCACTTAAAACAATTTTTAACCGTTTCACCAGTAGTTTCCAGCCATTGGTTCTTAGCATTCCGAGAACTCCAGCTAAGCAGTCTATATCTCCTTACGTGGCTCAAACGAACGATCGGAAATCCAATAGATTGGTGTCATGTTTTGTTCTGACTGCTCTTAATGAGAACATCATCACTCAGTGGAATGTAAGCGCATTCAACTGAATAGCTTCAAAGAGGACGAAACATTTTCTGTATTTTAGAAATAGCCAACAAATAATCACTTAAGGATTTGAAGTCATATCGAAGGTGTACGTTCAAGGAGCGGCTTATGTGCTAGAATCAGGTCAGTCAATTTGATACAGAAATATCAACGGTAGAACACCGATATGAATAATATTAAGTGTGAAGAAATTCTTCTCATCCATATGTTGATAATGCTCATATGCGCGTGTGTGTTTTGGAACCAGATGAAACTTTGCGTCATTCTCTTATTTTTCAATGAGACTATTTTGACTTCATTTTAATGTGAAGAGCCTCTGGTATAATAAGTTCCTTGATCTTATGACAGTAAAAATCGGCAATGCGAACCTGTATCGAAGCTTTGTGAATTATATTGAATTCCGTAGAAGATAAACAAAAACCCTATGGTGTGTTCATTTCTGAAGACGTTTGATTTATGTATATTGCTTCTCAGTGGCTGCATTATTTTCTTCTGTAAACACAAATCACTAGTCCTTTCACTCGGGCTAAAGAGCTTTTTATCGTGCCCTGTGTTTCGAACAACACTCTAATGTTATATATGCTTGAAAACACTTACAATATTTTCAGAAGTTCTAAAGCATTCCTTCTGCTTTTTAAATACTGTATTGTTTTCCTCTGGGTGTTAAGTTTATAGAAGTTATTCATTTTCAAAATTTTGGTCAAAAGTTTCTTTTCCTTTGCACATCTTATCATCATTTATGTTCTGTTTAAGAGACTGAAAGTAGCTAAAGTCTTTTCACTTGTCAAGTCCTACGAGTATAGTTGTACTAAAAGAAAGCCGATCTATTTTCATCAGACTGTTGAGTGATATCACGCACCAGGTCAGCCGTCAAGTGGAACCCGAATGAGAAACTACGAGTTGGGTATGTGGGTCCAAGTTTGACATGAAGGCGATCATATGCGAACGAAATAAAAGCTTATGGGCTATCATAGAGCCAGTTAAAATAGACTGCATAGAGAACAGGGTGAAATGAAGATGTACTGCTGTAGCTTTATGTTCCATTCGGAACCCAAAGAAGTAATAATACAATAAATAATAGATAATCTGGAAAAGACAATTAGCCTCTAGAGTTCTGTTTCTAAACAAATATAAAACTGATAGTTATGTTTCTGTCTAGTATCCAGTTTATCTAAGAATCTGTAGTACACACTACTCTTTATTATTTAAAATATATCGTCAACATGAGGAATGGACGAGGATGTCAAATCGAGAATCGGGAAGGCGAGAAACACATTCATCAACCTGAAACCAATCTGGAAATCTTCGTCACTCAGCCTGCATCAACAACAAAATTCGGATTTTCAATACAAACGTCAAGTCAGTTCTTCTACACGGATCAGAAACTTGGCGGGTCACAAGGAAGATTTCCAACAGCCTGTTGCAGACCTTTATCAACAACTATCTTCGTTCTATACTGAAGATCAGATGGCCGGAAAGAATCACCAACAAGAAACTATGGGAACAAACAAAACAAGAACCAATCGCCCAACAAATATGCAGGAGAAAGTGGAGATGGATCGGACACTCGCTGAGGAGGCCGTTGGGTGACATCGCGCGTCAGGCCAGTGCTGGAGTGGAACTCGAAAGGGAAGCGGCAAGTGGGACGTCGGTGCAAGGGTGACATGGAGGAGATCATGTGAAGAAGAGTTGAAACAGTATGTACTAACATGGATGCAAGTGAAAAGTACAGCAGAAGACAGAAGCAAGTGGAGGCGTGCAGTTGAAGCTCTATGTTCCACTAGGAACCCAAGGGAACAATAATAATACAATAATGATATCGTCAACATACCTTAAACAAATTGATTCATACGTCAGTTTGTTATTGAGTGACAAGGATAGAATGACAAGTAACTCTTTGATTTATCAGTATACTTTTGTTTTAAATGTAAAAAGATTAGCTTCTAGGTGAGATTTATTTTTACAATTTCTCCCGTTTGAATTGAGATTTAACTAACATCCTCGTTTCAAGTTTGATCACGGATTCTAGTGAGTTAAAGAACCATTGAAAACCAGCAGGGAGTAGTGGACAACTGTTTCATCCAAGTTCGGGACTCTCTTTATCTGTACTTGCTCATCGGGGTTTGAATCCAAGACAAGCTCGTGAACCGTTCAGTTGTACTTATTTTCAACAGGAAACTCATTATAATCAATCAGATAATGGTAGAAGATGATAAAAATATTAGTTAACAGCTGCGTATAGTTGGCAATGTACCGAACTTATTGTATGAGAACTAATGACACTAACTGTTTGCCTAAACCTTGGTAGGTCGAGCTGGGTTGGAATCCGTCACCAAGTGAGTGGTAGTTGGAAGGGTCTATTCTTATGGTTTATAAATCCCGGGGATCTCAATATATTATGAGATAAGTGATGTAAGAGGAGGAAGTGAAGTAGTCGAAATTAAGCAACGGAAGTTAGTATCGCGTAATAGATTTGAGTTAGATATAAAGGAGAAGATTGGTAGCTCAGGTGTATGATTTTGATGCCTAGTAAGGCAATGAAAGATTAACAAATAAACCATCTAGCTCAGAGAACACGACTACATCAAAAAAGATTTGAGTTAGTTTGTGGAGCTTTAGGAAACGATTTGTTGGAAAGAAAATCTTTGTGGTCATTACGTTTCCTTTTTATAAACCATTATGGGAGTTTTCTGTTAATCATATAAACGTTTGGTCTGATTATTAACAGTCAAAGCATTCCATGCTTGAAACTATGTTGACAACTTTTCTTAACTGTTTTATTCCTTTGCGTACCCAGTGGAACATAGAGTTTCAGGCTTGAGCTATGAAATTTCAGTGGTGGTGATTTTTGTCTTTTAAGGGATGAGGTTGCTAACCTCACACCGAACCTCCCTTCTTTAATGGGCTTACTACCGGCCAAATGAGGTTAAGGATTGCATCGGCCGGGATCGAACGCTGGATGACATGAGGCGTGGTTGGCGAGCACTCTACCGATACATGTATACACCCTTTTACACTGTTAAGGCGATCCAACTGGCTTTTCATTCACGGGTTTACTGCACTGCATGCACCTGGCTTCGTGCTGGACGACTACATGTACGCTGGTCTGGTAGGCTTTCTAACAATATGTGCTATAAATATGCTTAAACTGGTAGTAAATAAAATAAAAGTTAGTGTGTTGTTTTGTGAGATCCAGGACGCCCATTCCATGCTGTTTATGACTTGTACCTAAATTTCAGTGAATGTTGGTGTTGCCACTGAGAGTCATGGTTTGAAACTCAAAAGCGTTATCTGCTCGGTTGTTGAGATCCACTTCTTAAGCAACAGGTGTCAAATGCTAATTGAAAATATCTACTTTGTGTAGCACAACAAAATGCGATATAAAATAAGATTGGATTCATTTTCTTCGCCATAAAACTTCTCTCCTACTTTATGAAAGTTATTGGTCTTGGTAAAGTTTTTAGTCATTCAAGTGTTGGTTTGTGAGAATTGGTTGGTTACATGATTTCATCATGAGCTGACATCGGTTAGAGAACCATTGCAAAACCTAATCATAGTCATTTATCTTTGAGTAACTTATGATTTGTTTATACTCATTCTTTGTGGAGCTGTAGGCAGGTCATTGATGTAGGTACTCGACTTCCAACTAGTGGATCCCGGGTTCAAAACCCTCTCAACCTATAGAGATTCGGGCAGTCAGTTAGTATCACTAGCTCTCTCTCTCACAACATACCTTATTGCCAACTGCATGAAACTGTAATTGATTGTTAAGTGATATTTTTTTGTCTTTTCCATTAACATTCATCTCTTATATTATTATTATTTATTGATTTCAGATCAAATGTACAACTAACAGCTGAACTGTCTCCTGTTGATTCTATGAAATGTTTAAACTCTGATTTATCAATGAAAATTAAATGGACAACTAAAGATAAACATGTTGGCGGTTTAGGTTGGATACCGAATAGGCATACACAAGGTAAAAGTCTAAGTGAATCAAAGCATTCAGTAGGTGATAAAGAAGAAGAAGAAGAAGAAGGGGAACATATAATTACTGATGATGATGAAATTCTTAAAGCACTTCCAGGCTTAAAGAAAAGTCGATTAATCGGTGATCATTGTACGTTTACCTTTTGCTTAAAAGTTCTATTTGTTTGTTTATATGGAATGTGTTCTTAATATATACTATTGAGTAAAATACTAATAGATGTGAAGTTAATTGAATTTAGCGACTTAGGGATTGACTTGTTACCAAGGCACAGTCTTGTTGACTTAGAGTCTTCTGAACATTTTTAACAGAAACCTTTGTATGTTTGACATGCGATTCGCACCTGTCAGATTTGTAGGATGATACTGCAGGACTAGTCTGAACCAACTTCTAGTTTAAAGTTAGGCAGGAGTGAAGTCCGCTCCGTCCTTCTTTATGACTGTGAGACCTGGCCATTGAGAGCAGAAGACATGAAAAGATTAGCTGTCTTTGATCATAGGTGTCTGCGTTCTATCTCCTGTGTGAAGTGGTTTAATAAGGTGAGCAATATTGAGGTTAGGCATCGAGTACTAGGTAAGGAAATTACATCGACTGAGATGGTTAGGACATGTGTTACGTATGCCTAGTCATCGCCTTCCTCGACAATGGGCAATGTTAGCTGACATAGGGTCAGGCTGGAAAAGAGCTAGCGGCGGTCAAACCAAAACATGGTTGCACCAGTCAATGAAATCTACAGCAGTTAGTCTAAGCCATCCACGTAGGAAGGTGTAGACTTCCTGGTTGGGGTCCTCGGGACGGTAAAAACCAATGGTTGAAAACCATTGGTGACATAGCTCAAAGTCGTTCTCAATGGCTGACGCAGATGCATCCACTCCTTGTGACTTATGATTTCCAATTAAACTGTTTTATTCTTCGTTATTACTATTCCTTTGCCTCACTCCTCTGTTTACTGTCTCTAATATGCATTTCTCCTACTTTCTTCTCTTGCTTTGTGTGCTACATGGAGTATGGCGACCTGATCTGGTGCACATATGTGCAAAGTACTATGTCGAAAACAGGCAGGAGTGAAGTGGTTGACCGTGTTCACTTATTCACTGATTGAGGTAGTTACATCAGCCTTAGGGAAGCGATTGCTGACGAAATCTCAGCCTGGATACAAGAGACTGGTGTTGGCATTTGCCAACTTACGTCATCTCTGGCGTAGACATGATATCCGACTATTGAGCAAAGGATGTGTATACTGCGCAGCAGTTCTCTGTGTCCTCCTTTAAAGCTGTGAGAATGACTATTGAAAGTGCTTGCATTTTATCGCCGATGTTAAGTTGTATAATATGGTGACTAAGATGAGCTTGAACGTAGAATCCTAGATAAAAAGGAGGGCTAGTCGATCGATGAGTTTGTGAATGTGAATCGATTGAGATGGCTAGAACACGTGCTACGCATGTCGAGCCATTGCCATGCTCGTTGAGCAATGTTAGCTGACATACAATTAGATTGTAGAAGATTTAGGTATGGTCATACCAAAACATGGCGTCAATCCATGAAGTCTTTGACTTTTGGTTTCAGTCGCCTAGGGAGATGTAGACTGATTGGTTGGGGTCTTCAACGGTTAGAGACTATTGGTGATGTGGCTCAAAATCGTTCTGAATGGCACAGATTCATTCACTCTTTGTAATATCCCAGATTAATTATGTTTTTCCTTTGTTATTATTCTCTCTTGTGTATATTTCTGCTCATTGTAGTTCTTTTAAATTCCTTCTTTATCTCTTCTCTACCATTTTTGTGCTACATAGAGTGTAGCAATTTGAACTACTGCATTTCTTAGCAAAGTTCTATGTTGGAACTCAGCAAGTCAGTCAATTACAAACTGACATCAGTTGAAGATTCTTTTCAGATAAAGCAATAAGAAGACGTAATTTGTCTGAATCGTGTCATTTATTTATTTGTTCAACACATTTCGAACAATCTGATCATACACACGGACTTGTCATTGGATTATGTATGAAATTAATAAAGAGTTAAGAGGTGAGAAAATAGACTTAGGTCAAGTTAAAAAGACACATTGAAGGTCAAAATAACAATGAAGATCAATAAACCAAATAACAGAGGTAATAGTAGATCTACCCTGGTATTAAAACAAAGTTTACCAATGAAGGTTTAGTGTGATGACGAATTATTCTTGAACGAATAAAGGTGATGTAAACTCCCGAATTGCTAGGGCTTCCATAAACTTTAGGATACGCCCCAAACACGTTCTTTAGAAAGGTTTAAAAGACGTACAAACATCAATTTTATGTCCTGTCTCTATAATATGCTTTGTAATAGAGAAGCCAGGTCTCTTGTTTTCATTATTAATGGGTTCTGGAAATTCCATTTGCTTCTGAAACCCTCACTTGCAGAGATCGATGAGTCCTCCCTATGTATGTGTCCACACGTACATGCAAATAGGTAAATTCAGTGGGGTGTGGCATCATTTTTCTCAAGTTCTAAGGGACAAGGGTTGAACGTATTTCTTTTGGATACATAGCGTGGGTTTGAGCTTTAGGATGGCTAGTGCCTCGGCTATGCCCAGATGTCTTAATTTTACTCCTTTTGATAGGTGTGATCGAATCTTGTATCTTATTTTGAAGGATTCTTCGAATGGCACTGAATGTCCTGAATTGACCAGATGTTCTGCCACTGAACGATATACCCGTTTTCGTTCTTTTACTAACCAGGCTGGATAGTGTTCACGAGCGCGTTTTTCAAGTTGGCGCATGGTACGGCTGATGTACTCTGCAAGAGCAAGTAAACGGGTATATGCACGTTGAAGTGGCCCAATGTGACAACTTGTCTTTCGCGTTCTGGCTGAACAGTTTCTTCCGGGAAAACGTTAGTCGTAGGCTCGTGGCGAAGTATGTCTTCCTCAGAGATTCTCAGAGGCGTTTACGAAGGATTTCTGCTTCAATGTCACTTTTGAATTCTAGATTAAGTAGAAGTATCTCCTTCGGGACGGACTCACCTTGTTCGGAAGTCTTCTTTAATTTGAGGTTCTTGTCTATGGACCTAGGCGGAAAACCGTTTTCCACCAGGGTTTTTCGGCGATTACACAGTTCTTCTTCAATCACTTCCTCGCTGCATATCTTCCGAATCCTCGAGGAAAGAGCGTATATCAGGTTCCTCTTTCTGCTTAGGAGCATAAACCTTTGAAAGTTAATGAATTGTCCAGTCCATGTGGGCTTTTTGTATATGGACCTTTTCAGAGAGTTGTTGGCGTTTCTTTTCAGATGGATGTCGAGAAAGTGGAACATTCCGTCGGATCCGGCTTCAAGAGTAAAGTTGATGTTTTGGTGGGTATTGTTGAATGTTTGAAGTAAGTTTTCAAGGTCCAGGTTCTCATCACAAATGATGAAAGGACTGAAGCGGCTCAGACAAGTCCTCATGGAAAATGGATATCCTCCAAGATTCATCGAGAAAAACACGAAGTTAAAGAAGGAGCCTGAAAGAACCCAGACGGTGCCGAAGAAACTGCTATTTATAGAGGTTGAATTTAGAGGTGACACCGCAGCTGAGATCCTGAAGAACCGCTTATGCAGATCACTGAGGAAAGCCTTCTTTGCGGCTGAGCCGACTATCTTAAATAGTTTTTTTACATAGCGATTTATTGTATGATAAATTTATATGATATATTTCTGCGATAACTGCAAACTGAAATTATTCTTTTTTGGTTATTTTTTTAAATTTTCGAAGATTACTTAACACTTAGTGATTCAGAGGATGATGATGATAATACTGTAGGACAACGGAAGGAAGGATATTCTTCGCAGTCAAAGTCTACGTCATATCAAGTAGGTAAAAAACGAAAGACACGAGATGATGATGACCCAACTTGGAGTATGCCTAGTGAGTTGATCTATTACTTTCAATTATTGTATTATTCTACTTTTTTCATGCTGTAACGTTTCACAATCCGTAGTGTTGTTTTCTCTACGGGATAGGGTTGCTAGCCTCACATCCAGCCTTTCCACTTCTTCTGAGCTAACTGTCGGCTAGTAAACTGCATGAGATTTAGGAGTGCATTAGTAGGGAATTGGAATCGGACCCCCCGGTTGGCTGGTGAGCATTCTATTATTAAGCTGTCGACGCACGGTTATTCTATTGTTCTGGGAATTTTAGGGTTTTTTTTCCGTCTGAAGGGTGCTGAATACTGTTTTCTGTCGTCATCATCATCAACTCTTTCCTCTTGAATACATGCAATCTGCTGAACTAATTGGTACGTGTGTCATTTAAGCCTAAATAGCATCAACTTTAATTTGTGATAAATTGTAAGGGTAAGTCTGAAGAGTAGCAAGTGCAGAGGATCAGAATAGAGCGCTGCACCGAATTGTATCGGCTTAGACACTGCTACATACAAAAAGAAAATGAATAGAAATGATTCTATTATGATGAAATATGTTTGTAGGAAGAATTTTTTTTAAAACCTGAAATTTGTAAGGTGCGAATGATTTTAGTCCACCACCCCCTCCTACAAAGCAACCTGTACTTACGTACTTGACATAGATCAGTATTCGGAGCATTCATGGAATAGAGTCATATTTTTCTGTAACCATACCTAGCTCCCTTCATCCGTAGTCTTTCATCCTATCAAGCCGGCATTTGATAAGTATGCTTGACACAGGTTTCAGCGAACTTTGTGGACAATCATATATCAGGTACAATTTACCGCCCATGATAAAAGTTAGATAACGGTGTCTAGTATGCAATTACATTCTAAGAGATTGTGTATATTCTTTTATATTATTTCCTTCGTTCGCGTGTCTAAGAAATATATCGACGGGGTCTGATGTAATTGTTTATTTTTATTTTATTCCTTTACATTCCCAGTGGAACATAGGGCTTCAAGTTGGAGCTTTGAAATTTCGGTAGTAGTAGTAGTGGTGCTTATTATTTTTACGGGGTGGAGTTGTTAGCCTCACACCCAACCTTCCCTCTTTACAGGTCTTATTACCGCCTTAGTGCGTCGGCGGGGGTCGAACCGTGAGTGTTCTACCACTGTATCACCGACGCAGTGTAATATTAGTCAGAATCAACAGTCTAAATATCTTCTGTCGAGGAGCAAAAAGGCTAGGAGCTTGGTACTTATGATTTTGCTTAATTTTCTACTGCAGTAAGTTTATCTATGTCTGCTGGGTGAATGTCGAGTCAAGGAATGAGAACATAGGAATGGAATATGACCGTTCACTGTCTAACTTGTCTGAGACATTTAACGCTCATAAATATATACACTATAACTCGATGTGCTATGGTTATTGGAAGTTAAATGAATGCACAAGTAATTGATTGTGTGTTTGAACTGATTCGGTTCCAAAGGAAACCATCTTCACGAATTTGGAATTCAACGGTGAGCAGGCTTCAAATATGCTCAAAAATCGTCTCTGTAAATCAGTCAGTAAGACATTCTTTGCTGAGAAACTACAAGTGGTCTTCCCCAGCCCTAAATTGTTCTCGTCTCTGTAAAAGATAATCTCCTTCGTTCGGCCACATCCGTGTGCATCTATCAGTTCACCTGCTCTTGTAGAGCAAGATACAGTGGTCGTAGCCAGAGAATGCTTTCCATACGGATACGAGAACGTATTCCAGCATGGTTTTACAAAGAAGAGGGGAAGGGTGTGCAAAGCTGTATTCTAGAACACTTAGTCGACTTTTGTCATTCTACCAATCCTGACCATGATTTTAAGATCATCTATCGAGTTCCCTCTAACTTGCTCCGTTTTCTTCGTTCTTAACTACTAAAGACAGCAGAGGGCTTGGTCATTTTATGAATTCAAGCCAGACGTTTGTGTACAAAGAAGTATGTACATTCGCTATTTCTACCTAGGCCGCAGAGGGATAACCATTTATGTATTCATTTTGTTTATTTAATGAATCTATATATCTTTCCGTCATTACTACGAATATAATAATAATTATTATTAATGTTCTCACTTTGAACTGTTTCCACTGGTCATTCTAAATCAAAAATCTTTTTGCAACGTTGAATTCTTTTTTCCAAATTTCACACCATGTTGCATAATGTTTCGTATTTGTCTACTAACGTATAATCATACACCCCCTTCCAGCATATACACATCTTATGAATTATTTTACATATGACATTAATTGTTTTGCTACTTGACACTTGATATTTAACTATGATTATAATCACAAATATTTCAATTGCATCTAATCCTGTTATTATTTTATGTATTCACACATTCGTTTAAATTTCCTCACGAGATATAATTTAATATAAAAAAACCATATATAAACGACTGTGTAGCTTGATAATAAATTCGTTGAAAAGTCTCTTCCACTGATTATTGTGTTCCTAATATTTGATCTACGTGGGAAATTGGGAAAACGTTGCCTGAGTATAGTGTACACATGACAACTGAACGTATGATCGTAGACACTTGAGTGATATCGTTCAGAATCGGCCTTAGATTCACGCACACTTTATAATATTAATAATATCACATTTCAGATTTTTTCTATACCTTTTTATTTCGTTTTCTAGAATTCGTTTGAAATAGTTTTATTTATTTATGCTGTTATTATTCTTTCTACTCTATGTGTAGATTTTTGAGGTGTGGCAGTTGAAATCAATATCCTAGTTTGCATTTTCATCATTCATGATATTATAAAAATTATCATCTGAAATGATAACAACCAGTGGTGTTCATCAGGGATGCACACTATCCGCATTTCATCATAGATGTACTAATGGACTTAACCCTAACCGACTTCAGCGACTCAGGGATTGACTTGTTACCAAGGAATAATCTCGTTGACTTAGGGTATGCGGATGATATAGTCCACCTAGGTGACAAAATGCAGAGTCTTCTGAACACCTTGAGGAGCAATCTTCGAATGTTCGGTATGCAATTCCCTCCCGCCAAATGTAAGATGCTGCTACTGGACTACATCGACTCGTAGCTTAGAAATAGGGAGTGAAGTGGTAGAGCACGTTGACCGCTTCACTTATTTGGGCAGTTGCATCAGCCAGTGCCAGCGGGTTGATCGCTGACGAAATCTCAGCATCGATACAGAGGGCTAGTTCCTCATAGGCCAGTTTACGCCGTCTCTGGCGTAGACGTGATATCCGGCTATCAACCAAAGGACGTGTGTACTGCCCGTGTCAAATGGTATAATAGAGTGAGAAGTATTGAGTTTAGGTTTCAATCAATCGCTAGGTGAGGAGGGGAAATCAATCAATCGACGTGGTTGTGAAGCAGCTGCATCGATTGAGAAAGATGACTAGGACATGGGTTACGCACGCACGAATGCCTAGCCACCGCCATCCTCGACGGCCAATCTTAGCTGACTGACATAGGATGGATCAGGTTGGAAAAGAGCTAGTGTTAGTGGTAGTTGTGATCAAACCAAAACATGGCTTCATCAGTCAATGAAATCCATTACAGTGAGTTTAAGCCAGCGAGCCCCAGTCAGTCACGTAGGGAGGTGTAGACTTCCTGGCTGGTTGGGGTCCTCCCGATGGTAAGAACCAATGACTGAAGACAATTGGTGATATGACTCAAAATCGTTCTCAGTGATGGCGCAGATGCATTCACTCTTTGTGATTTATAATACCCAATAAAATGATATTGTTCTTCCATATTACTATTCTTTTTCCCTCACTCACACTTCTGTTTATTATATCTCTTTTGAATCTCTCTTTACTCTCTTCTTTTGCTTTGTGTGGTACATGGAGTGTGGGAATTCGAACTCCTGCATATCTGTGCAAGGTCTACTTTGAAACTAAGCAGTCAGTCACTCATTTTAAAAATAAATAATAATAGTTGAATTAACTTATGATTATGATAAAGACTATTACAAGACTATATGGTTTTATAGTTTTGTGGTTGTTTTCGTTGTGTATTATTTGCGTTTGAATTTTTCTTGTATTCTCACTAACTTTCACTTTAGGTCCTACACGTCGTCGATGTGGAACAAGTATCTGGAAGTCGAAAGATTCAGGTCCTATTTTTCCAAATCTAAAGACAGGCAAAACATCACTGGTAAGTATGGGCCTATTTGATCGAGTTAACTTAATTTGAAGTATTAATAAAGAATAGTGTGATGGCTAGTAAACTCAGATAGGTGTCTAACCTTATCTTTATGTACTCGATGCTAGGTGCCTTATAGGAATAATATTACGAAGACATCCATAGTTCAGAACCTGTGATTTCCCCCATAAGTTTCGTCGTTATTGCCTGTTTCGCGTCCTGAATGCAGCTTAGAGCAGACTGCCCTGCAGTATACACATTTAACATTTCCACTGTATGTGCTCAACTTGGGAGCCACTGCAGATATATTTTGTACCACTCTCTTGCATTCAACCCAATATCTATGGTCGGCCTGAATTTGGGCTACCGATATCCGTGCTGAAAATTCCACACTTGTACTGAAAATACGGTGTGGAATCAAGCTGTAAATCAAAATAAAAAAATAATTGCTAGCAATACTGACCCATCACATAACCAGTGAGGACAGTTACATGATAAGAAAACATTATTGATTAGAAAAACGTACTTAAGACGAATAAATGATGAATGGAAACTGATTTAACCAGACTAATAATCATTAAAGTGCTGTTAAATTTAGGTTTCATCAAAATGGGCACTAAGTCGTGTACTAATTCTTGAACCCTAGGTCTAAACCGTAATCCTAAGTCTCAATCAAGAGACATAAGAATCGAATTGCAGAGCAACTCATGAATCGAATGAATATTAAAGAAAGGGACTATGTACTTGATTTCCACCTTGATCATAAACCGTCTTCAGTAAGAAAACCATTGTACACCAGAGAGTACAGGACAGTTGTTTTGTCCTGATTTTGGACTCTTCCTTAGTATTCAAATGTTGGCTTTCAGGGATTTGATTGGTTCCAAAATTTCATCATAGACTGACATCGGTTAGGGAACCATTGGAAAACCTTCAGGGAGTACTGCACATCCATTTCGTCCCGGTCTGGGACTCTTCAGTATGCACCCACCTCCAGGGCTGGATTCCAGGACCTTCCGGTTACAAGGTATGCTCGTAGACTATTAAGCCACTGGGACCCTATCAAATGGCCAGCGCATGATTTCCAACTTCTACCAATTCACGATATGGCACGACCACTAGCGAATGTTATAGGTGGCGAGTATTTGTCCTCACACCCGACCTACTGTACCCTACTCCCAGTTACGACTTCCTACACAGGCAACTACCTACCTGAATAGGGCCAGTCTCTAGTGAGCATCCGACTGATATTCAAGTGTTGGTTTTCCAATGGTTCTGTAACCGATGTCAGTCTATGATGAAATCTTCCTTAGTACTCAGCCAAAATCCTGACAGGGATCGATCTTGAAACTTCCAGGTTGCGAAGCCAAGCTCGCTGGCTGGCTGGCTATTCAGCCACTGACCCAATAATTCTAACTTCTGCCAATTTGGTTTTCGAAGTTATTTGCTAGGTTGTTTGTTTTAGTTGGTATTGTTTACAATTGCCGTAACTGGCTAGGTTAAACACACTTAGATTTCCACTTAGATGTTTCACAGCAACCACAATTTCGGCTTTGTACCTCTCGATTGATGGAGCTGAATGCTGAGAGACATATGGCCTTATGTCGAATGCTGGTCAATTTTCTTGTGAAATAAAATTTAGTAAAGTAATCTAATGACAAGCTAATATTGTGGTAAACATATTACACTTAAATGCGTAGACACTTTGTTCATCAGTTTACTCTGAATAGTTACTGTGATGTTGAGAAGAATGTTATTTGTAAGGAAATAATTACAACACTTCAACAATAAATAACACATGTCAAATGTTTCTTTTATACTTCTTTCTTCCTAGCATCCTTTGCTGAGTGAAGCTGGTGCATCATCGTCAAGTTCGAGTACTTTGAAAAGAGCTGGAGGTTAGTTGGTTGATATAGTTATTGTGTTTAACAATATTTATTTGTTTTTGGTCATTTAGCGTCTTTTAAACATTTACAGTTTTATTAAGTTGTTCCTAGTTTACTCCAATTGAGGAGGATAAACTTCTCGTGTATAATGAAATTTCTGATTTCTTAATTGTTCTCTTGGTGACTGACGTATGTGTAAGGCAATGGAGTCGCAAAATTAATCATTGTTTCAGCTGAATTATCAGTCAGTAGTAGTGCTAAAAATCGACCTCGTACACCTTCGTTGACGAATACATAGTTCATTCTTCGAATCCCTGTTATTATTCCCCCCCACCCCTATGTTTTAAGTATTCAAATTCTGCAATCAACAAACATGATCTAAAGTGGTTGAACCTAAAGGTAATATACAGGAACTCATATGCCTAAAGCAGATTAATGGATTCATTTAAAAAAATATGGAAATGAGAAAATACGACTTCAAAAAGATAAGAAATAATGACAAATTTTCATCCACAACTGCCTTTGCTCAATACTGAAGATCAGATAACTACCCGGAAGGGATAAGCACCAAAGGTAGGCTGACAACGAATCCTCCAAGAACTAAGTATCTAACGAATATTCAGAGAGAAATGGAGATGGATTGGACATACGCTGAAATTACTGTTTAGTGGTATCACATACCAAGGCCCTCGAGTGGAACCGAAATTGAAAGCAACGAGTTGGATGTCCGAAGGTGACATTGGGGACATCATATGTCGAAGAAATAAAAGCTTGTTGGCAGTTGTGGAGATAACAGGGAACCGAGTACTATATAGATGTGTTACTGAATCTATATTTTCCGTTCGAAACTCAAAGAACGAGTGACAACAGCAACAATAATAATGACACTGATCGGATTACATTACTTTTGATTTGGCACTAGTAACTAGTGTGATGCGTCTAGTCCTCTCTTTGGTGCAGGCTGAATTCTATCAGCCAGGTTGTAATGTGGCCACCATTCTAGGTAGCTCGCCATCACGGTGTACATTGTTTGTGATGTGACTAGACGCATCACACTAGTTACTAGTGTCAAATCAAAATATCCACTACAATCCTACAGGAGGTCAATCGCGAACCCGAATAGCTCAGTGGTAATGTCTCTGACTGCAGCACTGGGTGATGCGGGTTCGAATCTCAGAAGGGACATGAGTTCCTTCAAGCTTGCAGATACGCCTTGCTGAAGAGTGCCAACTGGCACGAAACCTAGGTCGAAGGCTTCCTGTGGCCGATTGCCTCCAACCATCTAATATCACGGATTACATTACATTTTATTGATTTAAACTATAACTATCTGGTTCCAGTGTGACCGGCATCACTCATTAAGATATACCTAGACTCAGTTGATGAGACCTCCAAACGACGATGAAACATATCATGTCAGTCACTGTTGGAGGTTGTATATGTGTGTGTATGTGCATGTGTATGAGTGAGTTTGTGTTTCATATGTGTCTGTATGTGGGTGTTTGTTTTTTATTTATGCTGATATTTATTATTTTTACTGTTACATTCCATTGCACTTCATTACAGACTACTAGTTCGCTAATTAGTCGTTTTTTCTTTTTAGAATAAATTTCCTTGTAGTACTTACTATGTATCATGCCATCATGTTATTTATTTTACCAAATTTTGATTGACGTAACCCTCTATATCTTCTGTGCTTTTGTATACTCACGTAGTCATAGTTACTTGGCAGCATAGCAACAAGAGTTTAAATATTGTGCCACAATATTTTTCACCATGTATTGAAAAATGAATTTTCAGCTGTTGTTGTTCTTATTGTTGTTATTCCTTTATCATTGTCCTTGTTTACTCTACACTTTTCCTCCTTCATATTTACCAATCTTTTTACACTCTGTTCAATTGGTTGTGTTCCTGTACATGTTTGTCAGTGTGTGTTTATGTTTGGTGTGGTGGTAGTGGTGGCTATGGGTTGTGCATAGTGTCACGGGGTTATAATTGCTATCTTAGTGTTTTTATTAAATTCCCTCTCTTTCTCTCAGTCTCAGATCTTTTGACTTTTCTACAGCGTTGCATCGCATAGAGAAACAAAATTGAAACATTTAGCAAATCTGTTCCACTAGTTTTCAGAGGTTGTAGCATGTAGGAGGAAGGTAGGAATTAGGGGAACGATGGAAAAGTGTTTTATTTTTGACGTTTCGCTACTTGTTAATTAAGAATTCGGCATATTTTATTTTATCTTCATAATAAGCCTTTCATATTCAGGAACCGTTGTTGAATTCCGTTTTTCTTCGTTTTGGTTTATGAAAATTCCTCTTGTGTGTGTTTGTGCGTCATTGCAGTTTACGCACCAAGACAACTAATGCATATGTGATAGCAACCATGAGTCATAGGTGTGTATTAGTTGTGGTTTGTTTTGTTTTCAGAAGATATTTGTAATATATATTTGTATGATATTTATTTTATCTTTTTTTCAAACCCCGATATCAAATTGGAAAATCCTTTGAAAAACCAAATGGTTGTTAGATGGTTAAAGGCTATTTGTAGGAAGCCATAGATTGCTGGGTTTCGCGCTAGTTGGCACTCGTCAACAAGGCGCATCGTCTAACAACAATTTAGAGTGCACGATAATGGCGAGTCACGTCGCATGGTGATCACACACTGAAAACTCAACTGATAAAATTCAGTCTGTACCAAACAAATGGCTAGATTCATGACATTAGTTACCACCTAGTGTCCCATCAAAGTATCCATTACAGTCCTACAGGAGAGATGAGTCACCAGCTTGTAAAGCTCCTCAATAGTAACATCTCTAACTGCTGGGGTTGAAATCTCAGCAAGGGACATACATTCCTTCAAGGTTGCAGATATACTTTGCTGACGACAAACACGAAGCCTAGGTCGAAGGCTCTCTGCTGATCGCCTTCAGCCATCTAATAACAACTGTTCAGAGTGTACAATAATACCAGTGAGTCACACTTAGCATGGTTACCACATTGCAAACTTGACTGATAGAATTCAATCTGCATCAAACAAACGACTGGCTGACTGACTGGTTTCAACGTAGAACTTTGCACAGATATGCAGAAGTTCGAATTCCAACACTCCATGTACCACACAAAGCAAAAGAAGAGAAACAATAGACAGAAGTGTGAGTGAGGGAAAAAGAATAGTAATATGGAAGAACAATATCATTTTATTGAGTATTATAAATCACAAATGCATCTGCACCATCACTAAGCACGATTTTGAGTCATATCACCAATTGTCTCCAGTCATTGGTTCTTACCATTGGGTGGACCCCAACCAGCCAGGAAGTCTACACCTCCCTACGTGACTGACTGGTTGGCTCGCTGGCTTAAACTCACTGTAATGGATTTCATTGACTGATGAAGCCATGTTTTGGTTTGATCACAACTACCACTAACACTAGCTCTTTTCCAACCTGATCCATCCTATGTCAGTCAGCTAAGATTGGCCGTCGAGGATGGCGGTGGCTAGGCATTCGTGCGTGCGTAACCCATGTCCTAGTCATCTTTCTCAATCGATGCAGCTGCTTCACAACCACATCGATTGATTGATTTCTCTTCCTCATCTAGCAATCGATTGAGGCTTAACCTTAATATCGCTCATTCTATTATATCATCTGACTAAGAACTGGCCTCATTAGTACTTAATGTTCAATGAAAGATGCCAAGTAGTATTATGAATAAGTGTTTCTCTCCACTTTAGAACTCTTCAGTTACAATGAACGCTCGATTTCGATAAGCTTGCCACTTTCGATAGTGTTGTTTTTTAAATATTGTTTTTAATTGCTAAGAGTAAAGATAATTTTAACTTAATTTTTAAGGAGAAGAGGTGGGAAGGGTTTAGAGTTGAAGTGGATGAATGGCAAAATCTTTTAAAATATTATCTAAGTGAATTAGTACTAAGATTTTAAAAGTAAATCAAGTGTTGTCTAAAAATTTAAAAGTACGATGTTGATAATGATGAAGAAGGAGAGAGAGATTGAAGTGGAATGAATTCAATCGATAAAATTAAATATTTTACAAAAGAGAACATTACTCTGCATGCATCAACTCTTTCACATACCTTTGTGGAAGTTGTAAGCGTGTATTCTCTGGAAACACGTAGCTGAACACCATCCAGCATGGTTGATTAATGAAAGGTAGGCATAGAATGAGGAAGTTTTTCATCTGTGAAGAATAATTTTTTGAATCAGGTCATTATTCAGGCTCATGCAATTGATCTTTTATCATCTACATGACTAAATGCAATCACCTTAAACGCTTACGCTCTCTCCACTTATATATTATATAGCCGAACCTAAACTATATTATATTTGGCAGTCTACATAATTGTTTCTAAAGGTTTATTCATATACATATTGCATGGAGAATTTCATCATGAGCTGACATCAGTTAGAGAACCACTGGAAAGCCTGGGAGTACTGGAACCTGTTTCTTCCTAGTTTGAGACCCTTCATCAGTACGCACCCACCAGGGTTCGAACACAGGACCTTCTGGTTACAAGGCTAGCTCGTCGATCATTGAGCCACTGGGACCCGCTCCAATGGACCATGAATTCTAACTTCTGCCAATTCACGACATAACGCGACCATTTCGCAATGTCTTCTTCGATGAGTTAATGCCTCATCTTCAACCTGTTGTACCCTACTGGTCACTGCTTCCCAGTTCTCTGACTGATGTCAGCTCATGATGAAATTCTCCATGCCATCAAACAAAATCCCTACAAAACCAATACTTGAAAATTCATATACATATTGTTTTGTTTTTTTCATTCTTGGTTGTACCACATATTTTTTATTGTTCTCGTTGCTCTTTAGGTGCTTCAGCATCGCCTGCCTCTGGCGCCACTGGTGTGAAGAAATCACGAGCTAAACAGACTACAACTGTCCGACAACGTTTAGCTAAGCGTTTAGGTATTTAATTCAAATGCCAACCAAGAGTGAGTATGATATGTGCGTGCGTGTGTGTATCAGCCTGTTGATGGATCTTAAACCTCTTATTATTATTATTAATATTGATATTATTACTATTCACAGTTTAGTGATTTTTTCTTTCAATTGATTACTTCCTTTTTATTATCATTACCACCTCATAGCATATTGTGTTTTTGATGGAGGCTATTTTTATTTTATTTTACTTTATTTTTCTTCTTTCAATAAATTTAATGTTATAATTTATTATTATATTAGGAATAGCATTGTTCTTATCATTCTTCTTATCAGTATCTACTATTATTATTATTACTCGTACTAGTACTAGTTCTACTACTTCTACTACTATTGATAATATATTACTACTGGTATTGTCAATAAAAATACGTGCAGCATATTTCTACACACATGATAGTGTGTATTCCAATATTTTCTTATCGTTTTCTTTCCTTCTCTCTGTTTATGCTATAGCATATTGATGTCTTTGTAGTTATATATATTTTTGAATTATCTCTTTTTTTCTAATTTAACATGAATAATAACGATAGGCAATAATAATATTAACAATATTAATAATAATAATGAAGTTATAGTTATTTGTTTCCTCATATAGTTTCATTTTCTGTTTTGATGACCACCTTTTCCATTTTCTAACTAAACATTATTTGCATTTAGGTGTGTTTTGTTTTATTCTCATATACTGATTGATAATATCAAGCCTTTTCGTGTGTGTCTGTGTCCGTGTACGTGTGGATCTCCGACTAGTTAACTTATTCAAAGCCAAGTTTGTATGTTGTTGTTTTTTTGTTGTTTATTTGAATATTTGTCTCGTTTTATTCTAGATCTTGTTTTGTTTGACTTTATTGTTGTGGTTGTTATTGTTGAAACAATAACACCACCCACTCTCTTCTCTCACATATCCTATAACTCATTCGATTGTGAACTGATCAAGAAGTAGTCGTGTGCGCTCTAAGATGATGTGTTGTTGTTGTTGTTGTTGCATGTATGTGGGTTTTATAATCTTATGAAGTTAGGTATTTAATTCTTTATTGATGGTTGTTAGTAGTCTCCTTCGATTTTATGTTATGTTTGTTAAACATTATTTAGTGCATTTGTTTGTTTTGAAATAAAAGAATTTTATTCATATAAATTAGTTTATCTGTTTTTTTTAGTGTGCTTGCTTATTTCTCTTTTGTAGAGCCAGAGGTGGGTGGGGTGTGGAGGGAGATTGGCGCTTTCAGTGGCGTCATCATCATCTCATCTCCAGGAGTTATGGGTTCTCCTGACAACTGTCATGCATGTCAACCGGGGCTATGCTAATAATAATAATAGTAATAGCTTTATTCTGAAAAATGTGTTTATATGCAATAAAGAATCGTAAGCGAGTTTCATTGCAAGGTATTTGCCCCTTGTGCAGAATCTTCAAATAACATAATGACTGATAATAATATCATCTGAAGCAATGTTGCTCTATCCGAACTATGGGCCAAGTTAAACTTTAAGCACCACTGACTACCAATGGAGTGCGACTGCACCAATGCCCCTGAAACGCTCACTGAGCAAGTTGGTGAAACCTGGCATATAATGTTGTCATCATCAACAAAAAATGCTCATCGAAGTGTTATGCTATTGAATGGGATATCTGGCAAGTTTCAGCTTAGGTTTGGGAAAGATTAAGTTACTCTTTAAGCTAAGGACAAGTTAGGATTAGGTTAACCTAATAAAGACAAGATTAGGGTTGGTTTGAGTTCGATTACAGTTAGTTTAGGGATATTTTCACGTTAGGATTAGGTTCAGGAGAGGTTAGGTTTAGAAGACCTAAATAATTAATTACATGCATAGAATGTGGTTGAATTACTCTGTTGATTCAAGAATAGTACTTGTACACTGTGGTAGAGAATGATTCCATTGTGAGTAACATTTATTTTGATAAAGTCTCACATATGAGTGGTGCCTAAAGTTTAACTTTGCCGAACTATGCTCTTCCTGCGTTTCCCTGGAAAAATTACTAGCTCCAGGTGGGAACTTATTTGTAATTGTGCGCAAGTATAGATAGCAACTCACTGTCGTAATTAAAAGATTAGAAGAATTTAAAAACGGGGTAAAAACTATGCTCTTTGATGGGTAGAAAATTTAGTTAGCCCAGCAGGTCACCGCTGTGGTGTTTGCGGTAATGATGATAGGGCTGTACACTCTTGCTTTATCTGGACTATACAAAAACGTCTTCATATCGCCACCTACAACTCGTATTAATATTCAGTTGTTGGATAGATGCAATCGTAAAATGCTTCTAAAGGGATAGAATATGTATAATATTGTAAAGACATCTGCGAAAATGAAATAAGATATAGGAGGAGTTATGGTCACATTACACATATAGAGAATTTCCATTCAGAAGTGCTAAAAATTACTGCTACTGGGGTTTCTATCCACTCGGTCTTTTTTTCAAGGCTGTGAACAGTTTGATTGATTTCAGAGAGGATTTCTTCATAAACAGACTCAGTGTCAAAGATCCTCGAAATTAATTAAAGTATCAGTTGCATGGAAGAGACTTCTATTTATTTACCAGGATATAAGTCACACTTATTCTCTGACCGGTGAATATACTACTCAGATTAAAGTATGTCAAGCCGTATTCGAAGCTGAACCCCAGTGAAAGAAAATTAAATTCAACTTAGCAATAGGCGTCTACGAGGTGTTGAGTCTAGTACTGAAAGAAGCAGTTTTTTAAATGTATTCCACCATAGTCTATCATGTTTTGTACTCACTTTGTTGTATCGCTTCGATAATTTAGTGCAGCTGCGTTTCCAGAAAATACAGTAAATATAACACAACCTGAAGTCTATTATTATTATTATTGTTCTCTTGAGTTCCAAGTGGAACATAGTGCATCAACAACACATATCCACTTTGAAATAATAGAGAAGATTTGTAGCTCAGGTGGATGATTTGCAATCAATAGTGTTCTCTGAGCTGGTTGGTTTAGTTGCGGAGCTTTCGTCGTCCTCCCTGATGGACAACATCTTCAGCGCAATATTTAGCGTAAAGTGAAATGATTTAAATTTCTCCATGAGTGGTAGAATTGCGTCTCATGGTAACCATCTTTACATACGTATTCACCATTTTCTATTGACTTGGATTTTAAACTTTCTCCTGACATGATTTACTTTTTATTAGCTGGTATATTTCGTCTATATTAACGTGCTTGTTAATTGCATTTTCGTTTGAGTACCAAACGAACGGTCTTCAAAAAGAATGGTTATCCACAAAATTTCATCAAAAAGTGTTTAAAATCGAATCACAACACCAACAAGAAACCATCACCAAAGAACACAAGAAAATTCATTCTACCATACATGAAAAATATCTCTGAAATAACAACTAGAATACTGAAACCATTTGATATAGATATAGCACACAAGCCAGTAAAATCGCTTAATTGGATATTATGCAAACCGAAAGATCCAACAGAAAAAGGGGATAAAATTGATACCATTTACAAAATAAATTGTATGAACTGCAGCAAGCATTACATCGGCCAAAGTGGGTGTCCCCTTCGAATTAGAATCCAAGATCACAAATCAGCCGTGAAAAGACACGATATGTATTCTTTCATATCGATGCATGTAGATAATTATGGACATCGATTTGATTGGGATAATGTCAAAATCTTAGACAGAGGAAAAACCAAAAGTGCAGTCAGGGAATTCCTAGAAGCCTGGTACTCAAACGAAAATGCAATTAACAAACACGTTAATATAGACGAAATATACCAACTAATAAAAAGTAAATCAGGTGACCAGAAAGTTTAAAATCCAATTCAATAGAAAATGGTCAATACGTATGTGAAGATGGTTACCGGGAGACGCAATTATATCACTCATGAAGAAATTTAAATCATTTCACTTTATGCTAAAAATTGCGCTGAAGGGAGATGTTGTCCAGAAGGACGACGAAAGCTCCGCAACTAAACCAACCAGCTCAGAGAACACTATTAATTGCACATCTCCGCTTTGTTCTGTTTTCTGTTGACCTCTTCAACTGGGCCCACGACTCTCATCTCCTCCTCACGATTTGAAGTCTACTATCATTTAAACCTGGCCTTGCAGTTAACTGACAGAAAATAAGACAGTCTTTTCACTACCTGAATCATATCACATGTGCAACAGTCTGTATACAACAATTTGATGAAGTTAACAGAATAAAAGATGGTGGAGGTGTGATACAGACAATGTCTGCCAACGGAATATTAGGCTCGCATATTCCCACAGTTCAAGACGGTATTAACAACAGAATACGATATATCTGTTTGGACATTCTATTTGATGTTAGAGACAGGATACATTTCCCACGGTTATATACTGCATTAACAAAAGAATACTATATATATTTGAACATTGTATTTCATGTCGATTGACGTAAACCGAAACCAAAAGCTCAGTGATTGGTTAACGAATATAAAATGTAGACATATAAACAGCAGTTTGAAACATGGAAAATATAACTTGGCTCCCGTGTCTTGCCTTCTGTTGTTACAGTATGACTTCTTACTCTTAGTGAATTTACGTTTTCATTGAAGTTGAAGCATTGAAATTATCTGTTACGCTTGAATGAACTTTTTTCACAATTTATGATTGTGACTTGAAACTTTAGCTATTTATCAATTGAAGAAGTGGATCAATTTTCTGAGTATATTTTACCATATCTGAACTAAATATACCTTTAGTCTGTAAAGAAACAATATTTATGATAGCTCCAAGAATTTCCAAAGAACAGAAACTGATGATAATAGTAAACTAGTTGGATGATATTTTGAAGTCAATTGATGGATGGTGACTAACAGTGGAATCCAGGATGCGCGTTTCGTCCTATTTGGGACTCGTCAGCTAGATGTGAATGCATCCCCCAGTGAGTGATGGTGTTCTCACCGACGCCAAAGCTTTATCCACTAGACCACGACAGCCATCTCTTGTGTAATGGGTCTTATTAATTGTTTAATTCAGTTTAGATTTTCATGTAACTTGCCGAAGTTACACAACAGGATGTCGTCGAAACATCTGCACAAACAGCCGACATGTGAACCTGACACCGAGCACTTCGGTTCAATCCATCGACGGGAAAATCTAATTTGAGTTAAATAGCTAGATGATAATTCAAATTGCTGGTTTGTAGGAATTTAACTGAACTCAAGTTTGATCATGGATTGGTGTCATTTAGAAAACTGCTGTGAACTGGACAGCCGTTTTGTCCTAGTTTGTGACTCTTTAGCAATATGAACCTTGACCCCACTTGGGGTCTAGTCTGGGGCCTTCAAGTTACCAGGCGAGCTCGTTGACCATTCAGCCTCTGGAACGAAATCCAATGAATTCCAACTTCTATCAAATCATGATTTCCAGCGCTATCGCCAGTCAATGTCATCGACTAGTATTCGCCCTTACCCCTGCCTGTTGGACTTCTAGAAGTTCAGGGAAACTCCGTCCTGTAGTCAGTAACTAGTAGGCATCGGGGCCATTGCGTTGCTGGATTCTTGAATAAGGCGAATCGATAATTCCCCCTGAGACAATAAAATAAAATTTTTAGCGAAGAAAATCCTCTTCTAGACGTTCCAGTCGCATAGCTGTACAATCGTGTTTATATATATATATTAACATAGATAAGAACAGTTACGTTTGTTGTACAGGCTAAAATCTGAGTGAGTGGAAAGGTTGGCTACAAAAGTAATCGCAAGATGTTTTCGCAAATAGTCTATCAAGTGGTGCAACAGAAATTCTGGGTGTGTTAAAATTGTCTATAAAACAGTCAGACGTAACGTTTGAAACTATTACGGTATCCCTTTAAATACGTAATGCAAAATCACACAAGAATGTGAACAGCACCAACTACTTGAGAAAATTCAAATTGTAGTTGTCCTATCAAGGAGGCGGAAACGAAGGGGAAATAAATTTGTCTGGGAGTTTGCTTATACATACTCACCCAATAGAGATATTAAACTGCGACAAAATGTGTATAGATGATAATGAATCAAAAATTGACTATAAATATTAATGGATAAGGAAAGATTAACGCCGAGTTCAGTAAGCTTGAGTAAATAAACAGACGATACGGCTAATTTTTCTTACAGAAAGATTAGTTAATATCTCATGGAATCAT